GCCTCAGTGGGGAAAGAAGTGATTATGTCCCGTATGTCACACTGACTGGGCATCTGGTGACTTTGCCTCTGTCTCTGGCCAAGGAAGCCTCTTCCAGGTGGGTTCCTAGGACCACCCTCCCACCACTGGCTCTCAGACTCACCCATCTGTGATGCTGGCTTAGGACAGCGGGTATCCCAGAGTAAAATTCTGTTGTCCTAGAAGGAAGAACAGAAAAAGAGCTTCATAACCCAAAAAGCAGCTGCTGGCCAAGTCTCCACACTAGACTTGTGGCCAGAGGGTTCAAGTGTGGTCAGGAAGTAGGGAGGGAAGGAAAGGCTGTATCTCACCTCACTGCATGAAAGGAACATGGAATCCTTGTGGGGGGAGGCCGCGACACAGGTGACCTGCCCGGAGTGAGCTGTGAAGGAGAGAGGAAGGGAGGTATGACAGAGCAGAAGCTGGAGGCATTACTACCGCACAGCCCAGATACTACCCAGGGAGGTGTGAGAAAAGGGCCTTATCGCATGATGCAATTTAAACAAATTTTTGTGAGAGATTCTGGATTAGACAAAACCTAAAAGAAGATGTTGATGGAGTTCTAAAACCTACAAAGGCTTGGGGAAGAAAATGAATTAGTAAAGAAAAAGAGAGAAAAATTAGGGGCTAAGCAAGAAGAGCGAAGGAATTTACATGCCAGAATAGCAATTCTAATACAATAGTAACCACACACCTCCAGATAACCCACAGACACTTTCAGAGAACATTTGCTGAAATTGACTGAGAAACTGTCAGGGTCTGCCAGTGCCCCTTACTGCCTCCACTTTCACATCCCCCTTCTCCCAGCTGTAGAAGGGACGCACACCTCTCACCCACCCCACATCGCGCCCTGGTACAATGCCCAGGTGTCAAAAACCTACGGTATTAAACCAAAGAGGCTTTTCCCTAAGAGCCAAAGAGCAAAAAAAGAGCATCCGGGTAAAATTCAGTGCAGGGGCTGGCCTTGCTTCATCCTACCACAAACGCTAGAGTGATTCTGGGACTTATCTCTGTTCCTGTCTAACAATGAGAATTTTGAAAACCATGGCAGATGGTTGTCATAAGGACACATCTGACAGGCTGAACTGAACTTCAAAATGAAGTGAGACTTTTTCGAATAGAAAGTTAGGTCTAACTCGGCCCGCAGGCCTAACAATGCAGGCAATGCAGGTTGGCTTTTAGCCAGTTAGGTTACTTGGCAGACATTCTGCAGAGATTGAAGGGGCTTAATTTGCTAATCCAGGGCGCAATAATGATATGGCCAAAAAGTACCTCCGTTGCAACTATTTAAACTTAAATTAGATGCCAATTAAAAAATAGGGGAGAGGGTAGTGTTTTGAAAATTTTTCAGGAGGCCTATATGATAAAAAAAAACTTTGAAGATCACTGTTATTTGTTATTACAGGCTGTGGAAACCACATACTATTTAGCCAGACTGCCTGAGATAGTCTGAATACGGCTCTGCCCGCAGGAGCTGTAATCAAACCACCTCTCACAGCTCTTTCCTAGCCCTAGCGTCCACGGAAAGCCACACAATGAAAAGGAATTGATTGCTCACTTGAAAGCAAAGCTCAGAGATAAGCACCATAGTGGGGGGGGATACAAAAGACAGAATAAGTGGTTCCTCTGCCCTCAAGGGATCTGCACCTCAGTGGGGGGAAGACAGAACTACAAAGAATTAATGAAAAAAGATGAATGGAGGAAGTGCTAAAAGAGTTAGGGCAGAGCAGGGAAAAATCCCTCATAGGCCTAAGAAACAAAAGGCAGGTGTATTAGATGCTAGGTTGGCAATTTAACATTGTTTGACCATTTACAAGTCTCAGACCCTGAAGGAGTTTGTAATTTTTGCCTTGGCACCTACGTGAACCATACACTTTTGCAGTTAGAATTGGCAGGGAATGGCGCTTAGGCATTGAGGGAACCAGGTGTTCATCCAACATCTACATCTAATGTGTGGCCACACACACATTAATGCTCCAGGTATTATCTTCATGAAGAATGGCTCCCCGAATAAATCCAGCGGCTACCACTATTAATGAAATTGAGTAAAAGAAAAAAAAAAGTAACATTAATAGAAAGTGATAGCTCTCGCCAGAAAAATAGAAATTTTATGGAGGTGAATATTCAAAAGTTCAAGATTCACAAGTCTCAGGGTTTATTCTTGGAGAATGTCAAGGACCTCCTGTGATCCGGTTCAATCAGAGCAGTATGTTTGAAGGGGGAGTGACAGAAGGGCTTGAATGCTGTGACAAGAAAATGGGATATTAACCCACAAGCCACACAAACCACAAAAGATGAGGGACTGCAGATGGAGAGAGGAGGTAAGTGCCACCATCTGTGCGAAGTAAAACCTGAAAGCAAAAGAGAGCATCAGAAATGGAAAGGGAAATCACTGACCAAGTGGAAAAAGACTCCGAAGAACTCAGGGACCCACTGATCATGAGGAAGCAAGCAAGGGCAGAAAAGGACTGAGAGCTGGAGTCTCGTGTGGCCAAGAAGATGGTGAAGCTATTACCAGAAATAGGAAAATTGAAAAGGCAATGGATAGATATTGGGGCCCGACTATAGTTTTGGAAGAAAACTATCAGGCAGAAGCGCAAGGAACTGTTTTCCCTGATATCTGAAGTTCAAAGAGCCCAAGGGGAGAATAAAAACAAAACAGCTAAGGCCAGGACTAAAAAGAACATGCACTTACCCCGGTATGAACTCAGTACCATCTGCTGGGCAAGGTCCCAAACCTTGATGCTAAGAAGCAAAAGGAAAGAGATTCTTAATTTTGACCTGGAGTATCTACATAAAAACACGTGTTCAAACAAGAACTTCCTTTAACTAACATAACCTATGTCATTGACTACTGGGCTTCTGCTAAGCCCTATTCACAATGGCTTGTTGTATCTCTAGAAATGTTGTAGATATGTCATAATTAATAACCGTGTTCTTACAGCACACCCAAAACATTACTCAATGAGGCTAACAGGAGAGTAAAGACAACCAAAAGAGGTCTAAGATGCAGAAGCAATGAGCACAAGCACCCACCAGAAGTCTTTGCTACCGCTGACAGCTTGTGTGCCAGAGCTCAAGACACTGACTGTAGACACAATGTCATCATGCTCATACTTGCAGAACTTGCTGACAATGAGTGTCTCGTTCTCATCCAGCTCCCACAATTCAACAGCACCTGTTGGGAGTGTGGAGAAGGTTGAGGAAAATGAGTGTGGATTACACTAATACAGTAAGTCACTTCTAGGATTCAAGTGAGTCCACTGTCACTAAACTTAAAAAGTAACCTATTACTATAAACGCAAAGTCCATTTTTACTAGAGGATTTAGCTTATTTCCAAGCCATCTGGCTTTACGCTGGCATTACTGTTTTCTTAATAACAGTTCAGACAATTAAGCAGGGAAAGCTTCTAGAAAGACAGGGAAAGATGGAATGGCTGGCAAAATCCATTATCTGGCTTCTTTGAGAAAACACTGGAAAATAAGTCCCAAGAGACAAGGATAAAGTCTCAACAATCTGTGTAGCATACGGTCTGGTGTGGTTAAATCTTTCCAATTGCTTGGACATTAGTATTTGTTGAACAATTTGAATAAATGCCCTGTAGCTTCTTTAGAAATGTTTTGAATAACTGAATGTCTTGCACAGTGACAGGTTAAGTACAGAGAACCCTCCAAAAGTTATCTTAAGTAGGTAGTGCTCAAGCTCAACTGTCCGAGAGGTTCAGTCTTTAACGTCCCACTTATCCTTCCATGCAATGCCTGCAGATATCCAAATACTGATTTTTTTTTTAAACTCCAAAGACTCCATTGCTGAACGTGACTTTCGGAACAAACAAAGCAGAACGAAGACATTTAAAAAGAAGAAAATGGGAGGAAATGGAAAGAGACAGCACAGACTGACCTAAGCATCATCTTTAAGATCAAGATCATCCTTGGTCTGGGTTGAGGGGGTGATACTGGGAAGGTTATAGGGAAGAAAAATGGTTCCAATTCACTTCCTAATTTTGTTAGAAATTCCCATGAGGCAATTTGGAATCTCGGAAACGTTATTTTGCCGCTACACAAGAGCTCTCCTTCGGGCCAACACCCTCAAGCTCCCCCAAGCACGGAGTATAAACCCGGTTCGATCTGTACCCCATCGTCCATTCCACCTGTGGGGTTTTGGAGAAAGTGACTCACCTGAATCGGAAGCCACTAGGATACCTCTGTCCCCAACCCAAGTGAGGTCAGCCACTCCGGCCTCCGTCTGGACTCCAGCGGAGCAGAAGCCTTCGTTGGGGGCGGCACAGGGGTCCTTGAACAGCCAGAGAGAGCCAGCCCAGCAGCGGCCACTCAGGCTGGAGGCCCCGAGCAGGAGCGCCCCATCTAAAGGAAGTATAAGTTGTCAGCGCGGGAGGAGTGAAAGGGCTCGTCTCCATGGTGACCGCACAGACAAGCACGCGGGCGGAGTCTGGATCTGAGCTCAGGAACCCGGGGCAAAGGTGGGGACTAAATTAAGAGACGCGATGCAGGGGTCGGGAAGGCATGCGGGGCGGGGGCGGGCTGGAAAGGCCAGTCCCGGGAAAGGACAACCCGAGCCAGGGTGAGGGAGCCCCCAGGCCCGGGATCTCGGCTCACCGGACCGATACCGCGCAGCCTCCAACTGCCGTTCCATACAAGCGGGCGCATTAGGGGGAAGGTTCCACTCGCGGACCGCCGGGGGCATTAAGGGGGGCGGGGTTTCCTTCCGCATCTCCACGGTTCCAGCTCCAACCTAGACCCAAACTGGACGCCCGCCCGAGATACTGCACCCGCAGCCCCACGTGGTGCCCCTCTGGGCCTCCGCCCCTCTCCACAGGCTCCAGCCACTCTACATCTCGCGAGAATTGCTTCTACGGTTCCATTCCGAGGTCGGCAGCCGCGTTCTGGCAAAAAGTTCTCCGCCTTCCGCGCGTCTTATCGCGAGAAAAACAATACGAGGTAAAGTCAGTGGGCAGAGGGCACAATGTTCTCTTCTCGCGAGACTTGTGAGCGACCATCTTGCTCCCGCCCCTGACAGAGTGTCTTGTCCGGGTCACTGGGACGCAGAGCCTACTGCGCGGACCCTTTTGACCATGCTGTCCCGGGTGGTTTTTTCTGCGGCCGCTGCAGCGGGTGAGAAATCTAGACCCTGGTCGGGGCCATCAGAGTGACTGCAAAGGAGTGTGTCTAGGGTAACTGGAGGAAGTGGGAGGAAAGAGGGTGTAGAAAGGCGCGGCAAGACTTGGGCCTGAGTGGGGAATTAATTACGCCGCTCGCAAGGGGCGCGCCTGGGGGTCTCGGGGTACGGGAGAGAGAGGTGCATGGCCTTAGTGGGCGGGCTCCGCGGGGACGAGGAAGGGACAGACCGGATTTCACCTTGACCTTGCTGACCTGCGCGTTGTTTATGTGCAGCCCCCTGTCTGAAGAACGCAGCCCTTCTCGGTCCAGGGTAAGTAAGAGGGGTGTAATACCCCCCCTTCGTCCTTGTTTTATCACTTCATTTCACTTCTGTGTAACCCCGTCTTAGTTTTAGGCCGAAATTACCCTTCTTTAGGTAATTTTGAAAGGCTTAAAGCTTCATTGAAACTGCCGGGAACGTTGTCTGTTCATCTTCTGGCAAAGACTAAGAGGGTATGTGATGTGTTCTAACTAAACTGGAAGCTGGTTTTGGTGTCTTCTAAGCCCCGCCCATTTCCCTTGTGACCTTCGTCTGGACTTAGCTGCCAAGGCGGCGGAGCCGCGGGAATCGGAATTTCTAGATTGCATACCCAGAAGCAAGTTTTATTAAATAAAATATTGAAGCATGTTGTTTTTAGTCTCCCTTCCACATTCCGACTTTTACTGCCATATCGTAAGAGTCAGAGAAGTTCATTGATTCAGTCAATCTTATCTTGCCACTTACATAACAAAAGATAGAAAAATGAGTAAAGCTAACCTGCCTTCCCGAGAGGAGCAGCTATAGATAGTAGTGGTTTAGAGCAAAGACTGTAAAGCTAGAGTTACATCTGGTTCCTCCACGTACCAGCTGTTTCCAACTCTGCAAAATGAAGATAATAGTACATTATGGTTAGGAGAACCAAGAGACTTAATTCCTGCAAAACTCTAAAAGCAGCACTGGATATATAGTATGTGCTCAGTGTTGACATCTGTTATTAATGTTTCATAAATCATGTTTTCTTTGGACTTTGTCTTTTTGCTTCCAGACTTAGACCTAAATCTTGACAAAATTTGACAACTATTTTTGCCTTGAAAAAAAAATGGCTTTTAATTCATTTGTAATTAATTTTTGTGTGTGCAGTAAAGTGAGACTACAGTCGCTTCCAACTTAGCAGAGAAAAAAGATTCCATATATACAGGTAAACAATTTTAATAGAAGTCATAAACAAAATAATTACATATATAAGATAAGAGGAGCATACTCGATTTCTCTTGTTTCACATTCCATATCTAATACATCAGCAAGGCTCTTCCTCCAAATTATATATGGACTTGTAACCACTCTTCCACTACCAGTGCTACTGAAGTATGAACCACTGTCAGCTTTCTCCTGGTCTGTTTCAGCAGCCTCTTAACTAGTCTCCTAGCATCTCTGTTCTTGTCCCATTATAACCCATTCTCCTAGTAGCTGTAGGGATTACATGAGCTCCCAACACCAACAAAACCCTCCAGAGCTCCTTGTCTCACTGAAATAAAATCCAAAGTTAACATAACCCAGACGGCCAGACATGAATTGATCTCCTCCTGCCTCTTAATTTATCTCCTTATATTCTCTTTTTGGCTTCACTCTAGCCATGCGGGCTTCCTTGCTATTGCTGTGAAAAGCTTATTGTTGCTCAGAATCTTTGTACTTGCTCTCCTCTTTTTCCCCCAGGTCATTGACTTAGATGTCATCTGACCTCACATCAAAAAAGACTTACCATTCATTGCTTCTTAGCACCTACCTTACCCTATTTTTCTTCGTAGACTTTCAGCTGCCTGAAGTTGTATATAGACGTACACACTAACACTTTCCACAACCCCACTAGAATGTGAAGGCTGGGACTTGTCTGCTCGTTGCTATGTTCTCAGCACCTGCCATAAGGGTGAATGAATGTAAGACTGGGGAGACCTTTATTTAAAAGGATATGCTTGAGATGCTTTGAAGGCTGGTTGGGCTTAGCAGCCATTTAGTGAAAGTCATTTCAGGCAGAAGGAGCAGCATGAGGCATGTGTTTGGGTTTTTTTGTTTGTTCTTGAGAGCTCTAAGTAGTTCCATATGGCTGGAGGATAGGAGAATGAAAAAAGAGGAGGATTTAGAATCTGACAGCTGTCATGTATGCTATGTTAAGGAGTTTGTTTCCTGTAGGCAGGAGAGCCTGTTGAAGAGCTTTAAAGTCAACTTTGCATTTTAAAAACATTGGCACTAGTGTAGAGGGGCTAGGTTTAAAGGGGTATTTGTTGAGAAGCGGGAATACCAGGTTTTGGATTAAGTCGTTTAGGCAAGAGATGATCAGGGCTTGAACTATGACAGCCAGTTCGGGAGAGGATTTGAGTTGGCCTAAAGCAAGTTCTCTAGTTCTGTGATTTAAATCAGTGGTTCTTGGAGCACCTGGGTAGCTCAGTTGGTTGAGCATCCGGTTCTTGATCTCAGCTCCTGTCTCAACTCAGGGTCTTAAGTTCAAGCCCCATGTTGGGCTCCACATTGGGCATGGAACCTGCTTAAAAATAAAAAAGGGGTGCCTGGGTGGTTCAGTGGGTTAAGTGTCTGCCTTTGTCTCTGGTCATGATCCTGGGGTCCTAGGATCCAGCCCTACATCAGGCTTCCTCCTCAGCAGGAAGCCTGCTCCTCCCTCTCCCTCTGCCTGCCACTCCCCCTGCTTGTGTTCTCTCTTTCTCTGTCAAATAAATTAAAATCTTTATAAAAATAATTGAGCATCTGCCTTTGGCTCAGGTCATGATCCTGGGGCACTGGGATCGAGCCCCACATTGGGCTCCCTGCTGGACGGGAGGCCTGCTTTTCCCTCTCCTGCTCCCCCATCTTGTGTTCCCTCTCTCCCTGTCTCTCTGTCAAATAAATAAAAATCTTTAAAAAATGAAAAGAAAAAAAATTGAATAAATCAGTGGTTCTCATTCCAGCACAGTATTGCCCTCCAGGGGACATTTGGCAATGTCTGAAGACATTTTTGGTTGTCACCACTGGGTTGGGGCGGGGGATACTGACTGGCATTTAGTGGCATAAAGGCCATGGAGATACTGCTGATCACTACAGTGTACACAACAGCTTTCCATTATAACAAAAATTGTCTATAGTGATGAGGTTGAGAAACCCTGATTTAAATGAAAGAATCTTGAGCATGATTCCTAAATTACAAAACTTGGTGGGCTAGCTAATATATTAGGAAGCAGAAATAATCTTCAGAAGCTAAAAGAATCAAACCAAAATGAATGAAGTGATATAAATTCTTACACTTTGAAGAGATAGAGGTAGAGTGGGGATGTGTGGGACAAAAACATACTGAAAATTTGAAGGAGGCTGAGCTTGACAGCATATGTAAAAAAGACTAGAGGGTTTTATTTCATCAGAATTTTAATGAACTGTCACTGTGCTATAACTACTAAAAATGCAGTCTTGGGCAATTGGGCTATGCAAATAGTTTACAAATCCACAGTAATAGTACAATAATTCAAGCTCAGTAATTAGCAAGTTCTCAATACATACTTGTAGAATGAATGAATTGGTGCAGCTGTAGTTAGAGTAATTATGTTCTGTATACCTTATTGTAGTAAAAACAAAACCAGACAGCTCCTTGTGGACAGTCAGGATTGTGAGAGAACAGATATTTAACCCACATCACGGGCGTTGTGTATATTACATAGAGTAATAAAATTAGAACTAATGGATAGAGGTGTCAAGTATATACACAGCATCTCAGAACATAAGTAGAGCTACCCAACACTGGAAAGGCCTGTTTTCACACTGTGGCTAGTTAGCACCCCATCACAGATTATACTCAAAAAGGTCGGAGTTCTGGCCATCAGGGTGCTCACAACACAGTGGATACATAATAGCTAATTGCTTACATAGAACTTTATTGCATGCTTAGCACCATTCAAAGCACTTTACCTAAAATCCTCCCAGCAACCCTATAAAATCATATTCTTTATTTCCATTTTACCTAGAGAAAGCTGCAATTACAGAAGCTTCATCTACTTGCTCAAGTGACTGGTGTAGGATTTGAACCCAGATAATCTGTCTGCAAAGTCTACATTTTTATATATTGTAATTCTAATAATAAACATATAAAGTGCTAGACAGATGACCTAGACCTGCAGAATAGCCTTTAATTTTGTCTAATTGCTACCCGTAGGGTATTGCAGGCAACAAGGATCTTCCACACAGGGCAGCCAAGTCTTGCCCCTGTACCACCTCTTCCTGAGCATGGAGGAAAAGTTCGTTTAGGCCTGATTCCCGAAGAATTCTTTCAGTTCCTTTATCCCAAAACTGGCGTAACAGGTAAGCATTTGCCCCGTGTTTGATAGTACGTTTAGGTGGTATAGCTTATGTTTACGTAGAATTTTAGTGGTCTCTTACCTCTTCCACTTACACACAAAAATGAAGTCAGCAGTAAATTGTGGAAGTAATTCAGTGGAACAGTTTTGACTTGGTTGCCCTAACTTGTCTATGAAGTAAAGTGGTTGGGATCTTAACTTGATTTTATAACATTGTCTCCATTTGTTGGTACACACATCCACTGAATGCCTGCTCTGTGCCAGGTACTCTTCTGGGCATATAGTGGCGAGCTGTGGTGGCTGCCATCACAGAGCACATGTTCTGTCATAGGATGGACAATAAAGAAATGAGTAACTGTATGATACATTGTCAGGTAGTGGAAAGAGCTATGGGTTAAAGCTAGGTAAGACAGTAGAGGTTATTATATTGTATATATAAGTAGAAAACAGAAATTGAACCATATTTATCAGTTTTTTTTCCCTTTTAAGAAGGCATACACTATTCTGAAATCTTACATTTTTTATAATGCAATCTGCCTTCACTTACAGTATTTAATCCTCATAGTAGTCCTGTAAGAGATTTTTATTACCAAGAATAACTAGAAAATAAAGAATTTGCTGAGATTTAGTCTCTCTTTGGTGACTGGGTTGGACTTAAATCCAGGTTCTCCAATTCAGTATTCTTTTATGGCATCCATTGCCTTTCTTGCTCCAACTATTGCTGTGACTAGGAAACACTGGAAACCAAGGTGGTTGTTGTCTGTTTTTTTTTTTAACCCTCCAGGGAGTGGCCGAAAAGAACATTTCTGTAACTGAAATTGCAAGAAACATTAGGGTCCTCAGATCCCCAAAGAAGATTAAAAAAAAAAAAAAGTTACTTATGATAGGCTTTTTTTGCAAGTTCACAGTTAAAATTTTTAATTTATGTTCAAATTTAAAGTTTATGTAATGGAGGCAAATTTAAAAAAGAGCTATTGAAACTTTATGGAAAACTGGATAAAATACGTTTGAAACTGTTAATGCTTTTTATTCCTGTAATACATCGTAACATCCTTTGGTACTTGTGTTGCTCAGAAACACTGTACAATGCTGTCCTTTAGGGAGCAGTTTTGTCTTTGCCAATATCTTCTGAGGCACAACATCATGGTGTCCTTTCAGAGCTCACAGCCTGGTTAAAGAAAATAGTTACATTTGAAGCATTATAATTAGGCATTGTAGGAATTGAGAATCCTGATATCAAATTCATCCTTTTACATATATACTACTTTCTGTTAGGGTTTTTTTGTTTGTTTTCTTGCTTGCTTATTTCCAGCGTCAGGTAGGCAGGAATGGATAAATTTTATCCTGACCAGTGTTCCCATTATAGTATATTTTGCTGCACAAATTACTTAATCTGTCGTGCCAGGCACTCTGCATACCTTATTTCTCAGTTTCTTCCATCCTGTGAAGAAAGTACTGTTCGCATTTTACAGATGAGGAAACTAAACCTCAGAGATACTTGCTTAGTTTCTTCTGTGTTGCAGAGCCAGATTCCTGGAGTCCAGGTCCTTGTTTTTTTTCCACCCTACCATGCTGCTCCTCAGTGCAGGGTTATTTATAAATCCAGCTACTCTGAATCATTACATAACACCTTCAACTAATCAAATGTAGGACTTTCTTTCTTTTTTTTTTAAGATTTTATTTATTTGACAGAGATCACAAGTAGGCAGAGGCAGGCAGAGAGAGAGAGGAAGGGAAACAGGCTCCCCGCTGAGCAGAGAACCCAATGTTGGGCTTGATCCCAGGACCTTGGGATCATGACCTGAGCCAAAGGCAGAGGCTTTAACCCACTGAGCCACCCAGGCACCCCAAAATGTAGAACTTTCTGTCTTTCCTTTCAGATACAGTATATCCATCATAAAATAACTTTTCCTTTTTTCAGGACCATATGTGCTTGGAACTGGACTTATCCTGTATTTTCTGTCCAAAGAAATATATGTGATTACTGCAGAGACCTTCTCTGCCATATCAACAATAGGGTTGCTTATCTTTGTAGCTAAAAAATATGGTGCCTCTATTGGAGAATTTGCTGATAAACTCAATGAGGTAAGCACTGCAAACCTGATTTCTCATTTTAGATGGTATTAAAAGCATCAGTACCATCAAGTGATGTTTCTGATGTTAATGTTAGGGGACAAGCGTATAGAAATGAATCTAATTGCAATGATTAAAATTATAGAGTGTTAATGTTGGTTACTAATTTGAGATTTTTTTTAATCTATAAAACTTTGTCCAGTTTTTCCATAGTTGTGTTCATTCAACAAGATATTGCATAGCTATTATGAGCAATTATTTTTCAAAGATTTGTGCATTTCTGCCTGTATGTGTATACGCTTCTTCACGAGTGTTTTCACAAATGAGGAATATAACTTTGAGAAAGCATAGAATGAAGCTGTTTTTATTGCTCTTAATGCTTTTGCTGATCTTTTTTGTAAAATAATTGCAGCAAAAAATTGCCCAACTAGAAGAGGCGAAACAGGCTTCCATCAAACAGATCCAGGATGCGATTGATATGGAGAAGTCACAGCAGGCACTGGTTGACAAGCGCCATTACCTTTTTGATGTCCAGAGGGTAGGTTTCAGAACCTTCTAAGGAAAATAAAGTTACTCATTTTTGTGCATTTAAGACAAAAATTAGAATTTTAAGAGGAATGGTTGAATATCTTGAGCGTAGTTTATCTAGAAATGAGATTCAGGTGGGGCTTGGCAATTACAGCTATTTAGGTGTTTAATCTATCAAGTAGATAAATAGTTACTCTAAAATTAGAGTAAAAGCTATAAAAGAACATATTTTGGATCCACACAGAAGGAAAGTAGCCATTAAATTATAGCTGACTAAAAAATGATACTGTCTAGGGCCATAGGTGAAATACTCAGGTATGCTTGCTATGAGGAAGTCTGAGACCTTACATTCCAGTTCACAAAGCAAATTCAGATAACTGTGAAGCTTTTTACCATGGTCAGGGCATCATTAGATTCTAAAATACTTCATTTCTGAAACATTTTTAGGAATATGCTCAAGTATTTTTGTTTAACAATCACATTGTTATTTACTTTGAGCCCCTGCTTTATCCTGATATTTACAGTGAGATGCCCTTATATTGAAATTTTATGTTACAGAAGTGCATATGAAATGAAAAGTGAGATGCTACGGTAAAGTATCTGAAATAGTAAAGATCTAGGCCAGTATTTCTTAGTGTGGTCTTAGTATCACATGTATCAGTCCTCTTTGGTGCAGGTTTATGGACCCAGGCCAAGACTTGTATGCTCAGAAACACTGTTAGAAGCTACCTAAGAATCAATATTTTTAAAACTGATCCCTAAAGATTCTTAAGCAAATAAATGTTTGAAAACCTCAGGAAATTTTAAAACCTCTCCATATATATTTAGGTTTCACCCAGAGAATGCTTCCTATCTTATACATGATATATACACACAAAATCTTGACTTTTCAAGATGTATCTCTTTAATAAGAATCATATGGTAGTCTTTACCTTTTTACTTATTTATGAAATATTTAATGACTCGATTGACCTTTTCCTGTATAGAGACTCTGGTCAAAGGCAGGTGTTATATAAAATAAAAGAAATAAAATTTCTTTTATTTTATATAATAGATATATAAAGAATATATATAAAGAATAAAAGAAAAGTCTGCTTTCATGGAATCTGCCTTCTAGCCAGGGGCTGAGAGGATAGAAAATAATTGAGCAGATAGGAATGTCAGTGATAATGAGTGCTGTGTAGAACAACAAACTAGGAAAGGAAAAGAGATTTTAGAAGAAGGGAGTTACTTTTAATGGGCAGTCTAGAAAGGCCACTAATTTGTTACTTGAACAGATTTCTGAAGAAGTATTGGTGGAAGTTCTGTGGACTGGTGGGGAAACAGTATTGTAGCAGAGTGAGGAAAAATTGTAAGGGCCCTAAACCTGGAAATTTATTTGGTATAGTCAAGAAGTAGTGAGGAGACCAGTGTAGTTGAAGCAGAATGGGTGAGGAGGAGAAAGGAAATTAGAGAGTGGTCAGGGGCTAGATTGGGTCAAGTCTTACAGCCTTCTCTGTGGACTGTGATCTTCCCTCTGAGTAAGAAAGTCATTGAACCTTTAAGCAGAGGAGTAACACGATCTCACTTGCCTTGATGCAAATAGCCTTTGGTCTTGTAGCATTGGCTTGAAATGCCTGCAAGTTAGTGAAGTAGAGTTGTTAGGTGTAGACCATTGGATATAGGAGTTTGGAATTTATGAGGAGAAGTCCAGAATTCCAGGCTGGAGATTTGGGAGTCATAAGCTAACAGGTTGTACTTAAAGTTCTAAGACGTGGTGGGGAAGAACCAGTGAAAACAAGGACAGTTCCAGTGAGTAGTCATCCTAGGTATGGTCAGGAAATAGAGGGCTTACAAATTTGCCATGGATTTAGCAACATGGAAGTTCTTGGTAACCTTGGTAAGGTCTGTTTCAGGAAGTAATGGGAGTTGGTTGAAGAAAACGTGGAAGGGAGGAAATTGGAGTCAGTATAGACAACTGTCAAAATTGTCAAGGAGTTTTACTGTAATGGTAGGAAAAGGAATCAGTTGCTAGGAGGGGAGGATATAGGAATCAAGAGCTTTTTTTTAAAGGATGGAAAGTATAGTTACATGTTAGTGTCTGATAAAAGGAGAGAGAAAAATTGATGCAGAAAAAAGGGATAGGAGAGGTTTGCTGCAGTAATGCCCTTCAGTAGGCCAGAGGGCTTGGAGTATAACGTGCGGGTGGCAGGGCTGGCATCGACAGCTCTGCTGCAGTTACAGAAGGAAGGCAAAGTACACAAGTATGGGTTCAGACTGGTTTATATGGTGTGAGAAGTTTGTAGAAGCTCTTTTACTGCTACCTTTTTCTTGGTGAACAAGGATGAAGGTCATGTGCTGAGAGAGAAAGTAGTCGAGGAGATACCAGAGATGTAGGAGAAAAAAGACCAGGAGGTTGAATGGACTAAAGAAATGTACTTAGAGGTATTAAGGGCCTCCTTGAGATTAAAACAGGCAAACCTGTAAAGATTCTCATTACAGACTAGAAGATAACAACATCCCTGTCACTGTTGTTAAATCGATATTTTCCTGGAGATAGTAGCTGGATTCAAGAGTATCGACATAATTATTAAAATAATAACCAAATTCAGTCAGGTGTCTAGGTACACCGTTAATATCTGATAAGCAAAATCTGTACCCTTCCATATAAAATAGCAGTCAGTTAGGCAGTACACTGGAAGAAGATAAACTGTATAGGAAAAGATGCCTTGAGTAAACTTCAGTAGAAATGTGCAGAGTTTTTCCTTCAAAAAACATAACGATGCTTGTGAGGTATAGGGTTCTGAGTCCTGTTCTTAGATTGGAAGGCTCAGTGTTATAAAGACATCAGTTCTCCCTACTTTAATCTTTACATTTAACACATTCCTAGAAGGAAAATAACTAATGGCCTGGAGGGAGGGGATGTTGGGACTTGGACACATTGATTATTAGTTAGAAAAAGAAAGACTATCCAGGAATATTTTGAAAAAGAGAAGTAATAAACAGTCTTGCCAAATATGAAAATCCGTTACAAAATTATAAGGAGTTGTAAATAGTGTGGTGCAGTGCATGAATGGAAAGTCAGTGTGGCACAGTAGAGGAGAAGATCTAGAGATCCATTTAAATGCTGGGAACGCTAACGCAGTGTAGATGTGGCAGTTCCGTTGTAGAGGGGAGAGAATTGGCACCTGTGTAGACACAGCTTTGGTTTCCTACCTTTCACTTTCTACTAAAATAAATTCCAAATGAATTAAAGATCTTTGTAAGAAATGAAGTCATAAGGTAGAAAAAGAGAACACACGCAAAAAAATACCTTTGGAGTTGACAAAGCCTTTCTAATAAAGATTAAAAAATCCACAAACTTAGTGGTGACAGATGTTAACTAGGCTTACTGTGGTGGTCGTCTCACAGTGTATTTGAAATACTGAATCTATGTTAAACACCTGAAATTATACCTCAGTTTATAAAAACTTTAAATTACACCTCAATTTTTATGAAGTCCATGGATCAAGATGTGTGTACACACACACACACACACACACACACACAACCAATAGAGTATTGCTGAGCCCTCAGAAGGAATGAAACCTTGCCATTTGCAACAATATGGATGGAGCTAGAGAGTGTTATGCTAAGTGAAATAAATCAGAAAAAGAAAAATACCGTATGATTTCACTCATGGAATTTAAGAAACAAAACAAATGAACATGGGGGAAAAAAGAGAGGCAAACCAAGAAAGAGATTCTTAACTATAGATAACAAACTAATGGTCACAGAGGGGTGGTGGGTGGGGGCTGGATGAAATGGTTGATGGGAATGAAGGAATGCACCTGCTACAATGAGCATTGGGTGTTGTATGGAAGTGTTGAATCACTGTATTCTGTACTGAAACTAGTATTACACTGTATGTTAACAAACTGGAATTTAAATAAAACTTGGGAGAGAAAAAAAATAAAAATTTTAAAAACCCGGAAACTATAAGAGGAAAAGTTGTTAAATGGATCTCATGAAAGTTTTACATGTAAAAATAATCCTACACTAAGTTAAACGACAAACTGGGAAGAATATGTTTTTTCCATCTGACACAAAAGGGTAGTTACCTTAGGAGAGACCAACATCCCAGTAGAAAACTAGGCATAGGGCACAGACCATTCATAAATAAATAAATGTAAGTGGTTTCTGAATATGTAAATGTTCTTAGATAATGACATTAAAATTCCTATTTTTTCCGCTTATGAGAATAGAGAGTAAAAGGTTTAATTATCATTGGTTAGGGTTTGAAGTAATAGGCATTTGTGTTACTGGTAGGAGAATGAAGTGTAGTTCAGCTTTGTGGAATGTGACAGTTATTAATCCCAGTTTAAGAGCATGGGTTTTATAGCCTGGCTCCTTGTATTCAGATTTTGGCTTCACAGTTTATTACCTCTGTGACTTTCGATGAGTTCCTTAGCTTCTGCTTCAGTTTCTTTGCTGTAAAATGGATATAATAATAGCAATATCCAATAGTATGATTATAAGACTTAGCTGAATTGACAGTTTTTAGAATATAGTAGGTACTATATTGAGTACATGTTACTATTACAGCAAATATTTTTTTTGTTAACTTTGTTTTTTACTTATTTTAAAGATTTTATTTATTAGAGAAAGAAAGAGAGAGAGCATGAGCGGGAGGGGAGAGGGAGAAGCAGACACCCCACTGAGCAGGGAGCCCAGCAGGGGGCTGGATCCCAGCATGGCCTGTGTGGAAGGCAGACGCTTAACCAACTTAGCCGCTCAGCCACTCCATTTACAGCAAGTATTTACACATAAGTGAAAAGACATACAGAACAGTTGCAGCATTATTTCTGGTAGAAAAAATTGAAAGCAGTGTAATGTATTAATAGAGTTTAGCTAAATGAACTCTGAATTATGGGACACCAGTGTAGTAGAATTCGGGGTAACTTAAAATTGTGGTGGGTCTAGATGTCACAGTTAGTAAAAGTGATATGTGTGCGTGGGTATATGTGCATGCCTGCCTATACCTGTATTTTGTTTACTGAATATTTTTGAGAGAGAATACAAGAAATACAGGAAGACAGTGGCCTGTGGGTGGATGAGAGGAAACTCACTGTATGTACTTCTAAGTATATTTTTGCCATATGCTATTAGAATTTATTTACCACATTCACCTCTTATCTGTTCATGTTAAATAAAATAATTTGTCATAAAATACAAGAAAGTGGTGAGGTATTCTAATCGCAGAATCCACAGAGTGGAAGTGATCCTTCAGTGATGCCAAGTATTTCATTGGTTCTGAATTTTGCTTCAGAATAACATTGCTATGGCACTGGAGCTTACTTACCGGGAGCGGCTGCACAGGGTATACAGGGAGGTGAAGAATCGCCTGGACTATCACATCTCTGTGCAGAACATGATGCGTCGAAAGGAACAAGAGCACATGATAAACTGGGTGGAGAAGCATGTGGTGCAGAGCATCTCTGCACAGCAGGTACGTGGCGTCCGGAAGCTTCTGGAGTTGTATTGGTTTCTCTTAATGGGCCCCTGCTGTTGCTCTCTTAGGATAGGAGTAGCTGTCAAGGAGCCTTTAGCCTAGAGATGCTGGGGTTGCCCTAGTTCATTGTGGGTAGTGGTAACGTGGAAGACACTGCACAGCTACGTTGGTGGCTTTCCTCTTCCTCACAATGTGGTCTCCACAGGGTCTCTCACAGTCGGAGACAGTGGCAGATAATTGGGAACACTGATGGTGGCACACTTGTACTCAAGTTCCATCACGTGGGAAACGCTAACCAACATAGTTCATTTCTCTGTACAGCAGACTGGATAAAACTATTTCTGAGTCCCTTCCATTCCCTAATTCCATGATCTCTACTCTGTTTCCTCTTCCCAGCTGCTTACATTGTTGCTCTTGAACAGAAAAGAAATGTTTTTTTATTACTTGCCTTAATTTGTTTTCCTTTTTAAAGGTTATATTACTTTTTTTTATTAGGACTTGATTTCTTCTTTCCCAAATATATGGAATATATAGGCATTTCTGATCATTTTCTATATAGCCATCAGGGACAAGAAGAACAGAGTCTACCAACATTTAGTGATTTTTTTTTTTTCCAGTAAATTGTCTTACCTAAAAATAACACAATTAAGAAATGGGGAAAACACTAAAGAAAAAAGATAAAATTTTTATTCTTAACATTTCTGTGTTATTAATGTTTGTTAGGTTGTTTTTCATGCAGCTTTTAGCCATACAAGCTAACAAGTGGCACGTGGTTATAGGAGTGCCTGGCTTCAAATTCTACATAGATCACTCATAAAAACTGTGATCCGGGAGATTTTAACTAATTCCCTGGATTTGCTTAGAATAAATTGCATCCCCCCTTGATACGTAAAAAAATTGTAGTAGTCTTTCATGTCATCTTGAGAGTCTGTAGGAACCTCAAGGTCTTGTAACAGAAACTGTCATTTAGAATTACAATATTTATACGTACTTCTGTTATTTGGAGAGGTCTAACTAGAGTTCTCTTTCCTTATCATAGGAAAAGGAGACAATCGCCAAGTGCATTGCAGATCTAAAGCTGCTTGCAAAGAAGGCTCAAGCACAGCCAGTTCTGTAAATGCATCTATCCCAGTGGAGACAGCTAGAAGCAATTGACTGAAGAAACTAGTCCATGTGACAGAATCTTTCTGTATTGCTGTCTACTGAAGTTACACTTAACCTTCCCTAAAAATGAAAAGTTTGTTTCCTATAGTGAGAGAATTAAAACAATCTGTTGGTGAACGAGATGTTTTTCATCCTTCCGTGATCACTTTTGAATGAGCAGTTTGCTTTTAATAAAACTTGTTGGTGACTAACGATTACCAAGCTATAGTTTAAATCTGTAATTAATTCTACCATCTTGCACTGTGTAAGTGATAGTTGAAACTAGGTTTTTCAGGTTGCATAATATTCTGAAATATTTTAACATCATATGGCTAAAAATTGAACACATCATTGAACTGATATTTATTTATTTATTTATTTATTTATTTTAAGATTTTATTTATTTATTTGACAGAGATCACAAGTAGGCAGAGAGGCAGGCAGAGAGAGGGGAGAGAAGAGAAAGCAGGCTCCCTGCTGAGAGAGAGCCCGATGTGGGGCTTGATCCCAGGACCCTGGGATCATGACCTAAGCTGAAGACAGGCTTTAACCCACTGAGCCACCTAGGCACCCCTGAACTGATGTTTTAGTGGTAAGCTATTTCTGGCTACTGACAAGTTACAGGAAATTTAAAGCTTTTTATTACTAAAATAACTAAAGGAAATGTGTATCAAATCACATTGGCTTTATTATTTTAGTATGTCTATAGAATATATTATGGACCCAGTGTGTCATAAAATTAACCTAAAGAGTCCAGCAGATATGTAAAAAAATCCTGCCCTTCCATGGGTTTGTTTTGTTTTTTGTTTTTTTAATTTTTTTAAAAAAATATTTTATTTACTTATTTATTTGACACAGAGAGATCACAAGGCGTCAGAGAGGCAGGCAAAGGGGGAGAAAGGAGAAAGCAGGCTCCTGCTGAGCAGAGAGCCCTATGCGGGACTCGATCCCAGGACCCTGAGATGATGACCTGAGCCGAAGGCAGAGGCTGAACCCACTGAGCCACCCACGTGCCCCCATAGGCTTGTTTGCATTTAATTCTCCCATACTTATTTAGGGATGTACTTATAAACAAAGGGCAACTTACGTAATAGGAAATATTTGAAAATGTGTACCATTTGGGTAACTGCTATTTTCTCTGACTTCTAGGATTTTAATTTATGTAACAGCCGATGTAGGGTCAGTGTTTATTGGTAGCTAATGTATTCGTCGGCTACAGAAATCAGATTGACATCTTTATTATTAAAGAGATTTTGCTACGGTTGGCAGAGGTGCTCCAAATTATTTGTTTAACAAAGGATTTATAAGTACCAGTTGGTGCTAAGCACCATTCTTCACTGGTCATACAGAGATAAAATTCCCTCTCAGAAAGTTAAAAATCTAGAAAAGGCAGTAAGAGTATGTGAACAATAGAGACTTTAGCACGGGTGCTTTGAGAATATAACGGCAAGTACCACTTCAGGTAGTTTCACTAGCCTCATTTTCCTTTTATAGAACTATCAGTCAGCATTTAGTCGGAGAAGCAGAACTACTAGGATAGAGGTTTGTACGGAATTTGACTTGGCACTGTTGTGGGAGCTGCTTAAGCATGGCTCTCTGAGGCTGTTAACCTTTGTTTCTGATGTAGGAGCTCGAAGTCCAAGAGTAGGCAGGGAAGAGGGGAAGATGGCTGTAAAGTGGGAGACACAGGAACAGGTAGAAATCGCAACCACAGACCGAAACCCTTGTCATTTTTATTACCTCGGACTTCAATGGTATGACTTCCAGAAAAGCCTGGGTCCTTTTTCACACATACCATGGCCAAAGGTTAGAAAAGCTGAAGAGTGCTCCAGGGAAAGGCTGGGAAGTTGTAGGCCAGTTAACAGCTGGGAGCCACAGATCACCAACCACACATATGAGCTCCTAAATAGTTGCTGCTTCACATCTCTATAAACTTGCTCAGGGATCGATTGCTCACTCTAACAGAAATATTCATGGAAGAGAATTCTGGAAAGTAATTTCGTGTAACCCACTCAACACATTACAAACCACCACAATAACTAGCCTATTAATAAAAGTCAACCTGGATGAATAATACTGAAAGCAAAAATCTAATCCCAAGAAGTCAGTGAACATCCAGTGAAATGGAGAGAGCAGAAAGGTGACAGGTGAGAAAGGGAAGGCTGAGCTTGCGTTTGAAAGAGAAAGCCACCAGAGTCAGGGGTTGGGTCCAGAAAGAAGGAGTAGCATTCATGATTGTGGGGAAGCTAATGTAAGAGAGTAACATTTTTAAATCTAAGTTACTCAAGTGAAATACAAATAGGAGTTATATTAGAGTCCTTAAAAGTTCTGCTTAGCAGTTAGATTTTGTTCTGAGGACCAGGGAGCCAGTAAAAGGTTTTAAGCAGAGGAATGACAACTAGATTTTTGTTTCAGAAAAGGTACTGTCAACAGAAGAAGACAGTTTGGGGAGAGGCAAAGCTTGCTCAGCGGCAGGATCATTCTAGCCAAAAGACATTGAAGACCTCAACTGAAGGCCTTGTCAGTGTGGTTGGAAAGGAGGTAATTGAGAAACACTAAAGGCAACGTTAATGGGACTTGAGTGTGCAGATAATGGAAGAAAGGAACAATCAATGTGAGTTATAGCTTTCTTGAAGGAGAAGTTATAGCCTGAAAGAGAAGAGAATGGGAGGCACTGTTACTTACCGTGACTCAGTCAAGAGTATAAGTAAGTATAGAGCCATGAAAGAATATCAGTGTTTTCGAAATGGTAGAGGATTACGCAAAAGAAGGAATAGCCAGTTATTGGAGGAAAACCAGAAGAGAGCAGTGTCAAAAAATCAAGACCGTGGAGAGTTCTGTGTCAGAAGAGCCACTTTTTCAGGGAGATTAAGAGGACCCAAAGTGCGCATTAGAGTTAATAGCAGAAAGTCTCTGGTGGCCCTTATTAGAGTAGTTTTGGTTGAATAGCAGCACAAAAGATAGATTACGGTTGTGGTAAAGGATTGAGAAGCAGTGAGGAAATAGACCTACATAGAATAATTTCCAGAACATTACTCACCCTCACTTGTATTGTCTACACACCTGTTGGATTCCTTAAAGACATCTCAAATATAAGTTAAAAACAGATCTCTTAGTGTCCACCCCTACCCTGCTCTTCCTAAGTCTTCTCCATCCCATAATGGCACCACCTTTCACCCAAGTTGGCCAGCCCAAAAAACTGTCTACCTTAGCCCTTTTCACTGTTCGTTTTTTTTTTTTTTTTTTAAGATTTTACTTATGAGAGAGAGCAGTCGCAAGTGGAGGACAGGGGGGAGGTGGAGGAAAGCAGATGAAGCCAACTCCCTGTTGAGCAGGGATCCTGACAATGACGATGTGGGGCTCGATTCCAGGATCCTGGGATCATGACCTGAGCCAAAGGCAGATGCTTAGTCAATTGAGTCACCCAGGAGCCCCACGCTTTCACTTTTCTACCCAGTCCATCAGCAAGTCTTGTTTACTTCTACTCAAAAATTATCACAAATATGTCCACTCCTACCACTGCCTAATCCAAGCTGCCATGTTTCACTTGGACTACTACAATTCTCTGTCGTACACTTGCATCCTTTTAACAATTCTCTGCAGCCAAAGTGAGCTTTATAAAATGTAAGTTGAATCCTATCACTCCCCTGCCTAAAACTTTGTAATGCTCCATCACATTTAGAATAGAATCTGATCCTTATCTTATTTACAAGGTACTATATGATCTGGTCCCTAGCAATCTCTCTGACCTCATGACCGCCACTCTCCCTCTTGATTCCACTTTGGCCACCCTTTCTTTGCTGTTTCTCACACGTCTGAACTGTTCCAATTTGCACGCTTTGCACAAACTCCGAGCTTCCCAGACAGGTTGCCACAGATGGCTAATATGCCAGGAGATACTACTTAATATGTGGGGCAGGGGGGCTGACCCTCAGGCCAACGATTTCAGGCTGAGAACAGCTTCATCTGGGGCTCCTCATCAGGCCACTTGGTCTGAGCAGAGTCTAAGAACAGGCCCCACAGTCCCCAGAACCAGAGAACCGGATGACTGACGTCCTGCATTCAGCAACACTGACACATTGCCAAGAGAGGGTTTTGCCACCTGGACATAAGCAATGGCGCCCAGTTGTAGAGCATGTGCTGCTTCTGTTGGGCCAGGGGCCATGGATGTGCTGGAGGAATTTGTTTACCCGTGCCCAAGCAGTATGGTGTCAACTCAAAGAGGAGGTGATAAGCCAAGCAGGGGTCCTAGAGGCAAAACTCCAGACCCCGGCTGCAAATCTCTACCTCCAAATTGTCAGAAATGTACTTCTATGCGGTAGATGTGGTTTGGTACCTACCAACAGGCTGCATGGTGATTGGCTGGCTGGGCAATCTGTAGATGAGAGTATCATGATTATTTCTTAAGTACGTGATATGAAAAAGTCCAGTTGAATTTGAAGTATTTTTGTATTAGCAAAAGAAATCAATTACATTGTCAATGAAAAAAAGGGAAATGTTAGATTTTTTTGTTGTTTTATACTGAGCAAGAAAACAAATTATTATCAATGATAAATAATAATCTGAAGACCATTCCAGTCAAGTCAGTCACCCTAATTCGGTGGTTATTCTTAACATCCCTCATGGTAAGATAACCCAGAAATTTTTCCTGATGTGATTAAATATAAAGTAGACAGTGTCACCTATGATGTAATCTAGCCAAAAATAATGAACTTGAATCTGTCAAGGCTTAAGATGTAAATTCCAGTTTCCAGGAACTATAGGAGATAGAGGAACAAGATAAATGACACTAAAGGAAGTAATTAAATTAAGGATTATGTTTCTCCATGTATTAGGTCTTAAGTGTTTTCCATTAAAGTTTTTTTATGTTCTCTGTTAAGGTCTGGTACCTCTTTTATAACATTTATTCTAAAAACTCTCTATTCTTTATTAGTATTATAAAATGTACCTTGCTTATATTTTCTATTTGTTGTTGAAGAAATAAAATTAAGATGTGGATTCCTGGAACTTTGTTGGTTGGGGTTAAAATGCAATCAAAATGCAAAATCTTGTAACATTTGCTTCCGGTAATGGTAGATTAGGTAACTCAGACTGTCCAACTGAAGAAATTTTTTAACATCTGAGTGAAATATAAGACATATCT